ATAGATCATAATTTTTTATTATTAAGAAATCTTTCACGACACTTTTGCAGAAACTATACAACAGCGTTATAGTATATTATGCAACAAGTACGGTAAACGGCATTTGACTCCCGAGTTTATTTGATACGAGGGGAGCGAGTTTTTAATAAACGAGTGAGTTAAAAAGTTTACCGAACGTGTTGCATACTATAGTTTTTCTACGACCGTTAGTTTTTGGGTACAATTTCGCCAAACAACACGAATACATTCACTGACATTACCGTCAGAATTGACAAACGTCAAAATTCAAAGCGTGGAAAATATCTCCGAAAACATCCGATCGCTCACAAATCCGTGAGGTAAAATCTCGGAAATGGTTCGGATTCGTTGGAAACGAAAGTGACGCTTCCCGCACGCTAGATCCGTGGGTAATTAGGTATTTTACACACGGGATTAGAAAAATTTAATTTCATTGCATTTTTTTCCAAACTCTTGTATACTTTTGTTATTGCAATGATAAACTTTTGACTTATTTTTATTTTGTTCAAAATTGATGTTTTGAAAACATTTTTAAGTTTTATTAATAAATAATTTGGTGGTAAGTTGTTAATTTCTTTGGGAAAAATATCGAATACTACTGGTCAAAAATATATAAGAAACAAAGTGCATTCTGTGAAAATGAAATAAGTGTGTTTGTACATAAAAATCCGATACACTAGAGTAGCTCCTAAGTCTAGAATCTCTGGTGGAAAATCGATACAATGCAGTCACAACTACAACGCAGTCATATTTGCTGATACTAACTTAATCTGCGAACACTGTATTGGTTTCGCATTTAAACTCAGTATTGTATAGTCAGTTTACTTTGACAATTTATTATGGTCAAATCAATTTTGCAACAATGTTGTTCGGTAGTTCTTTTATTCAAATGAAACTTCCACAGGCTACTGTAAACTAACCAAAACTTCTGGATCCCTCCTGCGTCGGTTGTTGCTGAGTTCAATTTGCTAACGTTTCGCCAATCATCCTGTTGGCTTCTTCAGAGATTAACTGAAATTGGCTAGCATTTTACTCTGTACGTGGCTTATATATCGTTTGAGGGGGGCAGAGCTAAATGAGGGGCATAAATATAGTCTCGGATGAGTGATTCTCATATTGGTGACAGGTAAAGATCTGAGTCGCCGTTGAAATTATTATTATTAGGCAACTGCTCATGAATTTATTTGTCTTAGTCTTAATGCTTTTTCATGTTCTTTGAGCTTAGTGGATATTTTTCGTCTGGTCTCTCCAATGTATTCTTTGCCGCATATGAATGGAATGCTGTAAACTCCTAGCATCTCAAAAGGAATTTTGTCTTTAGATGTTGAGAGATTTTTGGTGGTAAATCTAGTTTTCCTGAGATTATATTTTTTAAGAACTTTTGATATGTGATCAGTAATGTTTTGAATGTAAGGAAGGACAACGGTGGCAAGTGTGAGATCGCTTTCGGACTCATTGCTATTGGAAGGTTGTGGTGATATACTGCAATTGTGAGATGTGAAAATTATTAGATAGAAAAGCAGAGGTAAGGTGCTTTAATTCTGGGTTCAGTGACTCTGGCTGAAATAGTTTTACGGTTCTGTAAACAAGAGACTTAATAACCAATGATTTTTGGACCGGATGGTGATGTTACCATGCATTAAGGTATCTAAGAATGGAAGGATATTATTAGTTTCCAACTCAATGGTAAAACGTATGTCAGGGTGTATAGAGTTTAGATGTCTAAGAAAATCTAGTAGGGAATCTTGGCCATGAGGCCATTCATTTCCCATAATTTTGGATTTAAATGTAGAAAGCTTTCTTCTCAAAGGTTTTCCATAAATATATTCGCGACGACTGGTGATAATGGAGAACCCATAGCTATTTCAGACGTGTGTTCTAAAATTTGACGGTTGTAAGAAAAATATGTTCCAGACAAGCATTAAGGTGAGAAGGTTTGGTTCCAGATTCTCGGATTTTAATATATCTGAAATGATGTAAAGGGTTTCAGGAATAGGGACTTTAGTAAAGTGGGATTCTCCGTCAAAATTAACCAGAAAATCTTGTGGATTTAAAGTAATGCTTCTTAATTGTTCAATGAACTGGAAGGAATTAAGTAAGAAACCATCATTTTCCCTGTAAAGAGTTTTAATATAGAAGCTAGATTTTTTGCTACAGAATGGTGCTGACAATAGGTCGAAGGGCTAGCCCTGATTTGTGAATCTTAGTGAGTCCGTAGAGTCCGATAGGTAAGAAGCCTTTATAACAGGTTTAAGATTGCGTTCCATAGATGACGTAGGATCTTTTTTAAGTTGACGATATGATCCATCTGTAAGAATATCTTGAATCTTTTACTGATATTCGCTTGTGTTTATGACCACCATAGGTAGCATGTCCTTTATCTGCTTTTAGGATTACGATGTCGGGATTACATTTTAGACATTTCAGTCTTAAGAATATTAGATTTAGGAGGTTTTGATTTTTTAAGAATTTTTGCGGTTTTAAATCGAATTTCATTAGCTGTTTGAGATGGCGATTTGTCGACATTAAAGTCGACATTTGAAATGATTTCCTCTTTTGGAATAATACGTGGGGCAAGGAACTGAAAGAACTGATTTTTCCTTGTCCGAAAGTTGGTGCGATAATACATTTATCGCAGTGTTTGAGAAGAGTTTGATGGTTTCACTAGTGTTGACGTTAGTTTTTCAAATTTTTGAATGTGATTTTGGATAGAAGATAAATGAAGATTTAGATCTTTTATTATTTGCCTCCATGGTCAAGAATCCCTACTGGAGTTTCTTAGACATCTAAACTATCATTGAATTAGAAACTAATAATAACCTCTCATTTTTAGATATTTTTATTAATAGAAAATTAGACCTAATATTGATTCATTGTATTTACAGAAAACTTACGCACATAGACCGATTCATTAATCCATTGTCACATCCGGCATTCAAAACATCATGAAAGGGCAAGCTCTTGATTAAGCGGTCGCTTTGCATAGTTTATTGTCCTTGTAATAAATTTTAATAATGGCACTGAGAGAGACAATGACTTTTTGCGTTCTTGGAACATTTTAAGATTCGACGAATAGCAAACACAGAATTCTGAAAATTTTATCATAGATCGTCTAGGAGTCTGAATAAGCAATAATAATAATAATCATAATAAGAAAGCCTTTTATTACCAAATTAATGTCTACATAACTAAATGAAAAATACATTGAAATAAATAATAAGTAAAAGGTTGCTGATTGAAAATATGGGAAAACCCTTTGCAGATAGGCACATCATCCTTAGAAATCTCGAAGTTCTATTCCAATAACTGTGGAAAAAATTGAGTGACGAGAAAGCTGGGCGCCGATTTTAGACACCTATTGCGCGAAATCAAGGTTTTCTTCTTAAACGCCGACCTATTTCGTGCCGGTCAGCCGGAGAATTAAGTTTGCCAATTTTCTGTTTTCCCCTTCGCTCGGCATCGCGTGTTGATAGGGTTTGCCCTGAACTCCGTTTAAAATAATAAAATTAGCGTATATCCGACACATATACAAACAATAAAAGTGCTGGAAACAAAACAAAGTGGAGAAGAGAAGTGCGAGTCTATAGGAGAAGGTAGTGAGGAATAGTCCGTGATCTGAATCGACATTAGATTTTGTGTCGGTCTCAACGGAGTCGCGAGACGTGAGGCGCTTCTCCGATTTTGGTAACGGAGTTTGAGGGCATAAGCTCGTTTTCTTGTAAGCAATATAGAAAAGAACGTTGCTGATGTCCTTCATCTGTCTTCAAGACAAAAACCGCGATAAAAACCACAAAAAATGAGGTTTGGTATTTTAAAACAGGAATGGTTTATAAATATTGTTATGGATTTGGGTTGTGGGTTAGGATAATAACAAAAATTTGAAAAAAAAAGTGATATTGGAACACTAGAAATATTATTCCCTAATTACCGCAAAAAAATTATAGAAGTAAAAAGGGGAATGATTTAATTGTGTTCCGGTTATTCATAAAGATGAATCCTGGGTTTCCGTGAGCTGTTTTTTGTATTACTTCCTGTTTCTGAAATATGATATGATTTTTATTTATGGTTGTGGTTGTTGGTTAACCATGCGGTTCAGGTGTTAAATAAAAGAAAATTAAAATAATACATTAAAAATCGGACAGTAATTCAGAGGGGTCCTTTGATTTGTGAACTGATTATGGTCCTCTATTATTGTTATTTATGATATGTTATGTTAGCTTTTCAAAAATATATTAAGACATATTAGCTCTTTCAAATAACAGTCATATTTTATTTTTAAAGTTATAGTTAGGTTATTGAAAATATAGATTTTTAAAAAAATGCATTGCATAATTTATTACAAAAAGTTTGTTACCTGTCAAAATAAAATTGTGAGTGTTCTATATTAAATGCATTTTGATAATACACCCCTATTACGTTCAATTTTTCATAATTGTCATATTTTGGGTAAACATGAGCCATAACAGAAGGAAGAGAAGACGGAAATTAAGAAAACGTGTCACGATTTTTTGAAAATGAACACCTTTTTTCTTACTTACTTATTCAGAAAAAATGGAATTAAGGATATAACCTTTTTATTTAATAGGTCTTACGTGATTCATTTTTTTGAAAAGTTAATAGTAAGCGTAATAAAATTATTAAAAGACAGACAGGATGATGAATTTAAAAAAAAAAACAAATTTTGTTTAGTTTAGTTAGTATATCAAAATTTGTGAGTTTCGGAAGAAGAATGACTACACCATTGGGTCCTATATGAAACACTTTCTCCAGACCCGTTTTCATCTTTTCGTACATATGGAATCTTTTACGGCAAAAGCATAATTGATATAATCTCTCGAAAAGATATCAAATAAAATTAACTGGAAACTTATTACGTTCTTACGGTCCGATCGGCCAAACAACATATTGCATTTTAATACCCCCATCTTCAATCCAGCAAGTAACGTTAATTAATCTTCCCCGGCTCAAGCTTACAATCTTACCTTAAACCCCCTCAGGTTATCCACAACGCAGGCCAGGAGGGCGTCCCTGCCGACGGTGACTGTTACATTGGGAATTGGTTCGGTAAACCGAGGCAAACCATCTGCAACACATTTATCTCCGTTCAGTGGCGTATCTAACTCATTCGGCTCACATAAATTTTATATTAACGCAAAATAAATTACAGACCGCGTCAATTACGGGTTCTCTAAGATCTATGCGGTACTGCAAGTAAATAGTTTTACGGATCTGTTCTTAACAATTAGCTTTGCATCATTCTAACTTGTATTGTTTCTTCTGTATACCATTCGACAGGCAAGAAAAAGTGGGAAACAAAGTAAAAAATTGGCAGACTGATTCATATATTACAGAACAATCAGTGATATCTAAGAGAAGTATACTTTTATATATTCGCTTAAATTAAGCTATGTTCGCGGATCCGGAAGTATTCGGAATATTAACGCATGCGCATTTGTAAGTTGTGTTGAGAATTGCCACTTTATACTAAAAATTACAAAAAAAACTCATTCGGGCAGCTTTCAGCAGACTTTGTATTCGGTGGTTGATTCGGAACGAATTGTGGGTGTCAAATTTATTGGCGTTTGTTTTGGTTAACTGCAGAATGAGATTTTTGCACATTTTATTTTATTAAAATTAAGACAACAGAAGAAGACTGGTTAAATACGTGTTGCTTTATATACTTAGTTATGAACAATTTTAAAATGCCGTATTTAAGCTCAGTAGGTTCATATTGCTTATCTTTAAAGTTCCAAGCTGCTTCCTGGAATTTCCATCTAGGTAAAGCTAAGAATATGAGAGTTGTAATAATACACTTTTTATGATTCATCTTCATGTGATTGATGCGTTGATAATTAAAAATTTCCACAAAATTGCAAAAATTATTTTCTCCCAATATAGGCAATTTAGGTTAGATTTGCATTCATGTTCAACTAATTTTATTAGATATCAAATTCTAAAGCAAGATAATATAATGTATCCACAATTAATTAATATGTGTATATTAATTATTTTGCTAGGCGGCAAATTCGTACCTAAATATTTTGCGATATCCAAATATCCTGAATTAGTACATCCTTATTTCGAATAGGTTTGGGAGCGTCTCCGCGGAAACATATTCTAAACTCTCAAGACCTAAAGGGGAGATGACTATGCCTCATAAGTTGTGTCAATTATAATATTTTTGGATTCTCTTGAGATTTTGCCTCAAATAATATACCAAATGATTTGGTACAACAAATAAAGATTTGGTCCAAATCTTTATTTATTGTAATAAAATGGTTGATCTTTGGTCAATGACCTTGTTGATTTCTTCAGAGCTAAACTGAATCTAGCTCGCAATCCACTATGTATCTGTTAATATAGTGTTCGAGGGGGGCCGAATTAACAACCGAAATATTATGAATCCAGAAGATTTGTAAATAGTAAGGCGACGATTTTTATTGAAATATTCTATTTGGTAACGGCTTTATAAAAAACAGTTGTTTTTCGAAAACTGTTTTTTTATCGAAGAATGTTTGCTTTGAAGGAAATCATATTTAAATACTGACCTGACAAATGGGATGTAGACGTGACTATAATCAAGGACTATTAATTCTTATCGAAATATTCTATTTGGTAACGGATTTACAAAAAACAGTCGTTATTCTGTAACTGTTTTTTTTTTATCGAAGAATGCTTGCTTTGAAGGGAATCATATTTAAGTACTGACCTGACAAATGAGATGCATATATGACTATATTCAAGGACTCTTAATTCTTATCGAAATATTCTATTTCGTAACGGCTTTACAAAAAACAGTTGTTATTCGAAAACTGTTTTTTTAAAATCGAAGAATGCTTGCTCTGAAGGGAATCATATTTAAATACTGACCTGACAAATGAGATGAAAATATAACTATAATCAAGAAGTATTAATTCTTATCGAAATATTCTATTTGGTAACGGCTTTACAAAAAACAGTTGTTATTCGAAAACTGTTTTTTTCTTTTAAATCGAAGAATGCTTGATTTGAAGGGAATCATATTTAAATACTGACCTGACAAATGAGATGTAAATATAACTATAATCAAGGAGTATTAATTCTTATCGAAATATTCTATTTGATAACGGCTTTACAAAAAACAGTTGTTATTCGAAAACTGTTTTTTCTTTTAAATCGAAGAATGCTTGCTTTGAAGGGAATCATATTTAAATACTGACCTGACAAATGAGATGTAAATATAACTATAATCAAGGAGTATTAATTCTTATCGAAATATTCTATTTGGTAACGGCTTTACAAAAAACAGTTGTTTTTCGAAAACTGTTTCATCATATTCAAATACTGACCTGACAAATGAGATGTAGACATGACTATAATCAAGGACTATTAATTCTTATCGAAATATTCTATTTGGTAACGGCTTTAAATAAAACAGTCGTTATTCTGAAACTGTTTTTTTTTATCGAAGAATGCTTGTTTGAATTGAATCATATTTAAGTACTGATCTGACAAATGAGATGCAGATATGACTATAATCAAGGACTCTTAATTCTTATCGAAATATTCTATTTCGTAACGGCTTTACAAAAAACAATTGTTATTCGAAAACTGTTTTTTTTTTTTTTAATCGAAGAATGTTTGCTTTGAAGGAAATCATATTTAAATACTGACCTGACAAATGGGATGTAGACGTGACTATAATCAAGGACTATTAATTCTTATCGAAATATTCTATTTGGTAACGGCTTTACAAAAAACAGTCGTTATTCTGTAACTGTTTTTTTTTATCGAAGAATGCTTGCTTTGAAGGGAATCATATTTAAGTACTGATCTGACAAATGAGATGCATATATGACTATATTCAAGGACTCTTAATTCTTATCGAAATATTCTATTTCGTAACGGCTTTACAAAAAACAGTTGTTATTCGAAAACTGTTTTTTTAAAATCGAAGAATGCTTGCTCTGAAGGGAATCATATTTAAATACTGACCTGACAAATGAGATGAAAATATAACTATAATCAAGAAGTATTAATTCTTATCGAAATATTCTATTTGGTAACGGCTTTACAAAAAACAGTTGTTATTCGAAAACTGTTTTTTTCTTTTAAATCGAAGAATGCTTGATTTGAAGGGAATCATATTTAAATACTGACCTGATAAATGAGATGTAAATATAACTATAATCAAGGAGTATTAATTCTTATCGAAATATTCTATTTGATAACGGCTTTACAAAAAACAGTTGTTATTCGAAAACTGTTTTTTCTTTTAAATCGAAGAATGCTTGCTTTGAAGGGAATCATATTTAAATACTGACCTGACAAATGAGATGTAAATATAATTATAATCAAGGATTATTAATTCTTATCGAAATATTCTATTTGATAACGGCTTTACAAAAAACAGTTGTTATTCGAAAACTGTTTTTTCTTTTAAATCGAAGAATGCTTGCTTTGAAGGGAATCATATTTAAATACTGACCTGACAAATGAGACGTAAATATAACTATAATCAAGGAGTATTAATTCTTATCGAAATATTCTATTTGGTAACGGCTTTACAAAAAACAGTTGTTTTTCGAAAACTGTTTTTTTTATCGAAGAATGTTTGGTTTGAAGGAAATCATATTCAAATACTGACCTGACAAATGAGATGTAGACATAACTATAATCAAGGACTATTAATTCTTATCGAAATATTCTATTTGGTAACGGCTTTAAATAAAACAGTCGTTATTCTGAAACTGTTTTTTTTTTATCGAAGAATGCTTGCTTTGAATTGAATCATATTTAAGTACTGATCTGACAAATGAGATGCATATATGACTATATTCAAGGACTCTTAATTCTTATCGAAATATTCTATTTCGTAACGGCTTTACAAAAAACAGTTGTTATTCGAAAACTGTTTTTTTAAAATCGAAGAATGCTTGATTTGAAGGGAATCATATTTAAATACTGACCTGATAAATGAGATGTAAATATAACTATAATCAAGGAGTATTAATTCTTATCGAAATATTCTATTTGATAACGGCTTTACAAAAAACAGTTGTTATTCGAAAACTGTTTTTTCTTTTAAATCGAAGAATGCTTGCTTTGAAGGGAATCATATTTAAATACTGACCTGACAAATGAGATGTAAATATAACTATAATCAAGGAGTATTAATTCTTATCGAAATATTCTATTTGGTAACGGCTTTACAAAAAACAGTTGTTTTTCGAAAACTGTTTTTTTTATCGAAGAATGTTTGGTTTGAAGGAAATCATATTCAAATACTGACCTGACAAATGAGATGTAGACATAACTATAATCAAGGACTATTAATTCTTATCGAAATATTCTATTTGGTAACGGCTTTAAATAAAACAGTCGTTATTCTGAAACTGTTTTTTTTTATCGAAGAATGCTTGCTTTGAATTGAATCATATTTAAGTACTGATCTGACAAATGAGATGCAGATATGACTATAATCAAGGACTCTTAATTCTTATCGAAATATTTTATTTCGTAACGGCTTTACAAAAAACAATTGTTATTCGAAAACTGTTTTTTTTTTAATCGAAGAATGTTTGCTTTGAAGGAAATCATATTTAAATACTGACCTGACAAATGGGATGTAGACGTGACTATAATCAAGGACTATTAATTCTTATCGAAATATTCTATTTGGTAACGGCTTTACAAAAAACAGTCGTTATTCTGTAACTGATTTTTTTATCGAAGAATGCTTGCTTTGAAGGGAATCATATTTAAGTACTGATCTGACAAATGAGATGCATATATGACTATATTCAAGGACTCTTAATTCTTATCGAAATATTCTATTTCGTAACGGCTTTACAAAAAACAGTTGTTATTCGAAAACTGTTTTTTTTTAAATCGAAGAATGCTTGCTCTGAAGGGAATCATATTTAAATACTGACCTGACAAATGAGATGAAAATATAACTATAATCAAGATGTATTAATTCTTATTGAAATATTCTATTTGGTAACGGCTTTACAAAAAACAGTTGTTATTCGAAAACTGTTTTTTTCTTTTAAATCGAAGAATGCTTGATTTGAAGGGAATCATATTTAAATACTGACCTGA